CATCAACGGTGCTGAAAAAAAAGGCACATGGAACAACTAAAAAAACATGTTCTCACACCCCATGTATACCTGCGAAGAATGCACAAGCCAAGGTAGATGTTGGTACAGTCACGAGTGGGAATTGAGACCTGTTAGTGATTCCAGTGCCTGTTTACACGCAACCCAGTACACAGACTCCATCAATTTTGTTGTGGGTGGGTGGTTAGGGTTGTCCACCCATGTGCAATTAATGTATCAGACTTTTAAAGTCTTGCTCAATGGAAGATTTGCGAACCAAATGATGTATTTCTTAAGGCATCAAACCATGCCAAAACATTTGGGTATCTGCCTGAAGGAAGGTGAGTTTCCCATTTTGCACACCTTAAGAGAGATCAAAGAAGGGTTTAGTTAAAATTGCAGCTGTCAAGCTGGGACAGGTCCCCACTGAAGCTTTCAGGTGTGATTTTAGAAAGTAAAAATACCCAACACCAGACTCCCTGCAAAGGCTGGAGCTGATCTTTATTCTTTTTCTTTGTATCTTCCGATCTCTTTAAGGTAAATTACAAGGCTGTGATGCCTACTATTGTGAAACTACCTTGTGAATCCCTTGAGTTACTTAGTGTTATACCATTGATGTTTCTGAATGACTTGATTCTTCACAGATATATGCAAAACAGGTATTAGCCGCTTAGTACTTAGTTCTGAATGAATTGGACAGTGAGCTCTGAATAGGACTGATTTTGAATCACACTCTATTTCATACTTTAAGATCTAACTTCCAGGTGCTTAGCACTTCAAAGTTCTGTCACACTGAAGACAGTCAGTCAAACAGACATATTTGAGGAAAGCTTTCTTTTAAATTTTTTCATGTCTCAGAACAAGGTTAGAGGACACACATTGGTGTTGCCTGCATTAAAAATCTTACCTCTATTTTTATAAAATCTCTTATAAAAAAGAAGCTACGACTTAAGTAGAAGAGGCATAAGATGAAGGTCAACATGAAAGGAGGGGTGGATGTGAAGAATTTGGACCTGAAATCTGTGCTCTTTCACAAAATCCCTAATCAGACCTAAGCCTCCCCCCCTCTTTTGCTGTTAGCAGTCTCTGCTTACCCAGCTGTAATGGGTGAAGCACTTAGAGGATAGCAAGCTCCTACTGTAACCTATTAGTGCCTCATTAAGTATAGCAACTATTTGCAAAGCCTTCTTTAAGATGAGGATCACCCACAAAAAACCCTGGAGGGAATTAGTCAGTCTCAGTGCAGTGCAGATTTAGGGAGGTGTGGTAGGCAAAACCTAAACCCACATGATGAATGAAGAGTCTGAATAGAAAGCTAGAGGAGCTGCCCCTTCCCAGGAGATTCCGGCTCACTGAGACCTATTAGTCCAGTAGAAGACCTATTATGTGTCTATATGATTAATAACTATAGTTGCCTCAGGAATAAACATCATTCTATAATTTTATATCAAAGAAGCTTTGATGCAATATAAGGCAATTTTTTACATTGTGCAGCCTGATTGAGTCTGCCCATTGTGACATTTAGGAGAAGGTTTCCAGATCATTTGCAGTGCAACCAGCACAGGAATTAAGATACAGAAGTACAAGGATTAACAGACACATCAGCTATTATTTTCTTGACTGGATGGGGTATGTTCAGAAATGATCTCCAGTGTATGGAGGCACCATAATGAATATTTGCACTGTGATACTGACACCCTTTTATAGAATCTAGAGACTTCCCCAGAGTTGGGAGACTGACAATTTCTAGAACAGATACTCAGGGGCACCTGGATCCGTATAAGGCCCAGGATATGGATAATCAAGGACTGAAGCCAACTTCAAGCTGTGCTTTGCTATTTTTCTGAAGAATCTTAGACAATGACTTTCCTCACTGAAGCTTCCTGCAGGGAGGTTTAACTCACATTGTGGGATCAAGGCACAGAAAGGCATTTTCCTCCAAAGATAATAGTTTCATATAGTCTTTATCAGGATACTTGTAAATTCAGCCTGAGTATTTCTGGGAGTGAAAATGGCTGAATTGAAGGTGGCGAGAGGTTTCAGTGACTGGTTTCAATGGTGCCGGGGTTTCAGCCCAGATATTCAAAGAACAGGAAGGTCCTAATTCTGAACACTGTACCAACAGTTTTAGAGAGAAACCTCAAAGACCTCAAGATACGTGTCAGCCTAGTTTCAGTTGCAAACCTCCTGACCACAGAGGCCAGTGAACTTCAGCGTGCTCTTAGGCTGCAGAAGAAACAATCCTTTCTTGGCCTGCAGAAGCGGGTTTAGAAGAGACTGACGACTAAGAGGCATGACTCTTCTGTGTTCTCTTGTACACTTTTACAAGCCATGAACTTGGTAGCATTAATCAGTAACATTACTTCTCCCTACAGACATTGCCTCAAAAGTAGTGTATAATATACTGGTAGGAAGGTGAAGAGTGATATAAACCATTCTCAAATATCATAAGTAAACCAAGTTTTCTTGTTTTCAGATGTATTTATTATTAGCTTCTTTGTAAAAAAAACCCACAGTAAATTGCATTTATAGCAAAAATAAGATGTGCACCTTAATAAATACTAACAGCACTTGTAGCTGGATTATCAACAGTTTTCTGAAATATCAGATACGTCCCACATTTCAGTGTCTAATATCTTAAATTACCACCTAAAGTTGCTAAGACTGGAAAAAAGGAAGCAAGGTCACAATGAAAGCCTGTCTTTAATTTCAGTGATTCTCTACCAGGGATTAAGGCCTAAATCTTCAAAGATATTTTAACGTATTTCGCCCTCCTGGAAGTCAGGACTTAGGTAGTTTTACAAAAATGTACAGGCTTCAACACTTGTTTCTACCCCTTTCCAGACCTGGGCACTTACACTGTAAGCAGTACAGAACCAGGACTTGATTTTTTCCCCAAGGTTCTGTGAAGGCACCTAACATATGTTGCAGAAGTAGGGCAATACTTTCAAAATGAACTATAAAAATCTGTATTCTAAAACTCTATGTTTAACATCCACAGATAAAACCAGTTACCAATTGTTATCTGAGGAGCCAGATAAACTGCAGTTTTTCTTAAATCATTTAAGCTGCCTTGGTTTCAGTTGCAGATTCATGACTACTTGTGCCCTGTGGTACAGCAGATCTGATTTAATGTTACTGTCAGAAAACACCACTGCAAGAGATGCACTGGGTATAGTTGTGTCACTGAATAAAGGGCCTCTAATGATCACAGGCATGAAAGAAAGGAGTTTTGTTGAGGAGGTGTTATATTCAGCTACTGGCCCCCTTTTTCTTTCATGTTGACCAGAGGTGGCAACAGCAACAGGACTTTTCCAACCACAGCAGCTCAAAGCTTCCTCCATCGCCGCCGTTGCAGCTTGGGCTCAGCTGCAGTCATAGGCCTTTAAGAGTGATTGACCTCTCAGGCAACAACCATTTGCAGTGTTCATACCTGGGCATCAACATGATGTAAACACAGGCAGTGGAAAAACTCCAGCAGCAAACGTTGCTGGGGCTCAGAACTTGCAATTCCTTCTGTTACTAAAACACCTGCCATCACACTGGCCAACAACGATGGCGCAGAGACACGATACGTGGCTGCCACATGCAGCCAAAGCTTTCTGTGCCAATACATTTCAACACAATAAATAATAGTAAATTAAAATAAATAGGTTATCAAATAATTAAACAGTTAAATAATGGAATACTAAACCAGTTCTTTCAGCACGTTACCTTCCGAAATAAATTAACACATGAAACAGTTTAAATAGCAATTTAAATGCCATCATCTGGCATTGCAAGTCATGTCAAGTAAATAAATAATAATAAATAAATAAATAGAAGCAATACAAGAATATGCAGAACCTATAATAATGGCTAACAGCAGTGCACCAAAATACTATGCATGTTAATATAACATGATGTATGCTAAAGGCATTACTAAAATCTAAGGAATTTAAAAGAGCTGCCAAAATCAGGACTACATCAATCTATTCCAAAAAAAAGGTAAGCATGGCTTCTTAATAATCTCAATGCAGATTTCCTTCTAATTATGTTCTTGTGCTAGTTCATTCTTTGTTTTCTTTAGGAGGACTGTGCCTCCTCCTAGAATCTCTTACTGGTTATCTGTAAAATAAGAGAAAGGAAATTTATGTAAGAACTAAGAATTATCTTCATTTCCCTCACATATAGATTTTTAGTCCATTTCTCAATAAGGGTTTGCTGGTCTGAGCCATCCAGTGAAATGCCACTCCTCAATTGCTCTAAAGGACTCCAGACCACGCAACGCAAGGCTCAGGAGTTCCCGTGTGAACATGACAGAAGTGTGATCTCATTTCAAATGTTTCAATAGGGCTACAAGTTTACAACTTTTCAAGAGTGTGACTCAGGATACTTGGAGGTCAGAGAGATTTGCATCTGCATCTAAGTGAAAAAACCCACCCCAAAATTACATAAGAGAGGAAGAAGAGAAAAATCTGCATAACTCTTTTGGGTGTTGGATCTGAAGGAGGATATTTCCATATTTAAAAATATGTTTTGACTTGGAAAGCTGGGCTGAGAGTAATTTAGAGCTGTCAGAGAGCACTGATCAATTCACAGAATAAGGAAACAGCCATTTCTAGGACTAGCAGAAGCTGCTTATAGCTTTTCTTTCTAATAGCAAATATCTCAGAGCTCTCTCTTACTCCCTTTCTTATTTTACTGGTAGAACTTGGCTGTATATGGGTTGTCTGCTGCATTTGGATGCTCAACATTGATTCAACATTGGCAACAACCAAATGCTCATCTATTTCTTAGGCAATATTTGTAAATGCCTAATGGGGTAGAATCCCACCTTTGTCCATGAACCTACATCTATTGTTTCCTCTCTGATTTAAATGGATTAAATAACCAAACATTCAGGAGACAAAAATGTCTGTGAGGACTACGAGGAATTGTGAAACAAATGAATATTTAAGAAGCAGAAGTAGTTCAATGGGCACCTTACTCTCCTAGGTAAGGAATCACCCCTGCTCCTCCAGCAGGAGGTTCTGTTAAGTCTTACCTGCAAAGTGAAGACCACTCACTCCAGGATGAATTGTAATAGCGATCCCTGGCTTGCACAGAGATCTTCCTCTTTGGCCCAGCCACTGGAATCTGAATGGACTGCTCATCAGTGCCATAGACCTGAACAGGGCACAGCTCCATCAGCAGATTGTAAAGGTCAAGCAGAACACACAATAAAGTGCCAGACAGACTGCAACAAGCACATGTAACTTGAAAACTCCACTGTCAGTCTGTTGTTTCCAAGGCACCAGTCTTCACCCACAGATACCAAAGTCATGAGGACTTGTGAAATCTTAAGCCTCAGTAAAAAGAAACTAAAAGCCCACTTTCCACTGGAGTTAGTGTTGTAAAGTGATCCAACCCCCGAACTCAGTCATTAAAACAAAGGGTTAACTTGTTTATCTGGGGGTTTCTCTTTTTTCTTCTTCTTCCAGAGTGGGAACCCTAAAAGACAGACGTTGCTGCTTTTCAGTATCGCTGAAATTTCCACTGAGGGCTTGTGGCTGCTGCAAGAAGCACTCCCCGCTTCTCTGCTCAGGGACAAGGAGCTCAACTAACGCCACTAAAATCAAGGAGTCAGCACTAACGGGAATAGCCCCATCTGCCGGTACACGCTTGCTGGATTGGGTTTTTTTTCACATGAAAGAGGACATCCTCTAGTGTCTGGTTTACAAACTGGAGTGCTAATTACATCGCTTTAATTTTCTGACTGCTGGACCAAGGAAGAGCAACACTGCAGTTAAGGACCTGCGCTGTGGTCCACTGATTTGTATGTTTCTTTCCAGTTCTGCTTTTGATTTGTCAACCTAAGCAAATTGCCATACTGCTGTCATGTACCCTTCAATGTGTATCCCATGAGCATGAGCAAATGAAGCAAAACCATTTTGTGATTTCAGACTAACACAGAGTAGCAATGATTAGTTAACAATTAACTGATAACTGGAAAGTTAGTGCCCAAGACGTCAGTCTGCACCAATCCACACAGAAATGCTACCAAATGGGTCACTGGTTCCTTATTTGCCAAGTCACCCACAAAGAAAGTCTGAGCTACCCAGGTAGAAACAGCACACAAGGAAACCAGTGCAACAGATCCTAGACTTCTTGGTTTGGAAATGGGGATTTTCCCAAGTTAGGACCCACACAGCCTACTAATGAATTAGTAATCACTTTTCTCACACAAACACAGCTATGCAATGCTGGGCACGATTTTATCTTCCCAGTGACATCAGCACTGCATCCACCCCAGAGTGTGTTGTTTGGATCTTACTGCTCACAGAACTAGGAAGAGGTCTCTTTGTGCCAAGACAGTACCCTGCCACATTTGGGTCTCAGCACCCTTTTATATTATCTTTTTAATTTTAGTCCATAATTCTTGCATACTAAGTTTATATTATTTATACTGTCTGTTCCAGCAAGAAAATTGTGTTTCAAATGCTGTATCTCTACCTGGCTGTTGCGTTTCTTTGTACTTTCAACTTTGACCCTGAAAGTCAAAGGGAAGTAGGACTTAGGTGTGCTCCATGTTCCGGGATAGGTCCAAGTCACTGTTCCATTTGTAGCCACATACTGACACTGGGGTGGGTCAGGTTTTACTGCAAGAGAAGATACAGAGTTTGCATTAGCGGCATAATACTAGATGTTGGTATACTACTGTTGGTAGTTTTATAGGAGTCATCTTTTGAGGGCCCTCGTGAGATTAAAAGAGGGGTAGACATGATGGATATGAATTGCCTTGTATGCTTCTTATGAAAGCTTAAGCACACTCCCAGAGTCTCTCCAGGTTAAGATCCTTCTTTTTCTTTGCCCAGAGGGTTGCAGAGGGCTCTGTTGGACACAGAGGAATGTCTTTAGGCCCTGCTGACTGTTAGGACATTCAGCAAAGCATCTGTTTCCATAGGATCCTGCTTCCTTTTCCTGTGCCCTGTGGCATCACGGACACAACTGGTCCTCTTCTTTCCTGTCAGTTTCTATTACCCTGCCCTGGATGCCCATTTGTAAGAATATATTGGGGGAGAGCATTAACCATTATCCGGGTAAATCTGCAGTTCTCAGAGAAGAGGCTGCTGGGTTATTGGCTATTCTCTGACTTCTTTTGTATACCCCTTACAAAACATCTCCATCTAATAAAGAAGGCTACAGAAACATCTGGGAGATGCAGTGTTTGAGGGTTTGAGGTCACAAGCTAGGAAAATGTTGCTTCTTCACTTCCTCATCCTCTTCCAGACTGCTGCTATGATTTGTTTTCCCCTGTTCCTGTAACTGGGGGCTCGATACAGATTTACAGTAGAGCAGGGCAGGGATTCCCAAGCTTGGTTTGATCAGCTCCCGTTGTTAGTTCCACTATTGGCAAGAATAAAGCTAAGGCTTAATCATGATTCCTGATGTACTCACTGATATCTCTGATGAAGAAGCTGCTAGTGTAGTTCTCATATTCCACCTCATCAATGACCTCCAGGAACATCTCAATTGGCTCGTGCTCTTCAGCAAAGGGACAGTAGCTTTCTTTCTGGCACTGGGCTGTGTATTCAGTCACTGATATGTCAGTGTGAGCTACAGGGCTGCTGCAGATTACGTCTCCTTGAGAGCTGAATACAGAACAGAGAAAAGTACTGGAAATGCTGGTTTGTTCTGAGAATTCGTTGCCACAAGAACACCATATAGTTGGTAAGGTAATGTTCTGATGTTGCCTGGATCATTTTATGGCTGTGCTTCAACAGCTGAGGGACAGTGGGAGTTCTTAGCTCTTACATTTTCAGTGCTGTATTACATATTAATGTAAATCACAAAAGCCCCCCTGCCTTAGCAGAATGAATTAGGGTTTAAACCTAAACCAGGATATCTCATTCCTTATTACCAATGTCCCATGACAAGCTCTAGTATCTTACTTTGTTCCTTAGCCCTTTCCAAAGCCTTGCTGGAACAAATAAGAGAAGGTTAAAATATATCCATTGGGAAATAAATAACAAAAGCCACCTATAAAGTACTACCTGAATCCAGTTCTATTTTTGCATTCAGCAAAATAACCCCCTTTGCAGTTGTTTCTTCTTTAACAAACTGAAGTGACGTTTGTTTAAGCCCTCCATGTTTTGGAGAAACCCCCAAGAGTAGTGGGAGGCAGGAAATCCCCATAAGGTTCCCCTCACATATTTCCCCTGCAGGTTTCTGTAGCCTTCCTCAACAGAGACTCGTCAGTGGCATGTGGCTTCTGCAGTGGGTGCAGTCTCCCACTCCCCTCATTGCACTGGATCTGCTGCGAAGGGACTCAGTACTACAATTGTTTCTGCTTTTGGCTCAACTTCCTCTCTTTCCCCAGCACGAACTGGTTTGTTATTGCTTAAGTTACTCTGTGGCTGTACTGTAGCAGCTGTAACAGTCCAGTGGGGGCTGGTCCATTTTCAAGCCTTTATTAATTTCTGAGCAACTTCCATGCCCTTACTAAAGTTAGTCCCAGTGATGGCTCAAAACATTTTGCACATGTTCGGACTCTGGAAGAGGGATTCCTTGCCTTCTACATGTCCGCAGCAGCCCAAAATCCAGGATCTCCTATTGAGAGTAACACAAAGGGCGTTCCAGCCTTACTATGAAGTTGTTAAGGAAAGTACAAGCTTTTACCCTTTTAGACTTCTGATTGTGAACTTCACATTTGGACTCTCATTTTCTGTCATCCATGAACATACGAAAATTCCAGAGTAGTTCTTTGCCTCACATTTTAAAAACGTCTTGTTTGGCTCTAGATGGAAAAAGACAGAAAACACGATTTATTTAGTCTTTTTGCCAAAGAGGTCCAAGCAGAGAGAAAACAGTGATTCAGTAGGCTCCCATCTACTTTGGTAGCTGGTGGGTACATCAGCAGACACAGTCTCATACTGCCCTTGGGCAGCCACCTGTAGTTAAAAGCCATATAACCAGAGTTAGCAAGTGGCTGGAGGCTGGTTTACATGGGCCCACATTAACCACATCTACATGACTATTAACAGGAGCTAGAGCACACCCCAGCTGTTGCAGATAGCTGTCAGTAAGAGATTTATATAGGCAAAGCCACTGTTCCTTTCAAAAAGAAACATTGGCGCTATTCAGTTGGTAAAGCTCTGTATTTATTATGCCGTGCATTGAGAGTGCTTGCAGTGGATCATCTCTCATCTTCACACACTAGGGCACTTTGTGGGGAATGTTTCCAGTGTGAGAAGTGAATGAGGCCTTAATACAAGCATGTGTTTTGTTTCTGCTGCCCAGCACTGCAGACTCTCTATATTGCACCCTGGATGTAGCTGACTGGCAGATCAGCCTACTGCATCTGGCATATGGGTCCAGGAGTCAGGGAAAAAGCCTTGGAAATTCCTAAGTTCTTGGCACAACACTAAGGAACTGCAATATGAGACGCAGATGAGCGAGGTTCATGCAGAAAATGCAAAACATCACAGGCTTGTCCAGTGGGTTAATTGTAGATGGAGAAGACCAAACGACAGCACTTAAAATCTAGGTCAATCCCTGGTCATGTCAAACCATGTAGCCCTGGCTTTGCAAACTCTCTCCTGAGTGCTGGGTCTGTGAGATGAAGGCAAAGCAAGTCACTTGATTCCCCACCAGAAAAGCAGTGGCATAGTATTAATGTTATCCTGATTCTAATCATTCCTAGAGAGTCTAAATTAATCCCATGGCAACAGATTCCTATGCTGCTCATCAGCTGCTCCATGCACAAACCCACAAAAGTAGTGCTTTTTCCTTCACTGTCAGTAAAACATTTGAAGAGGACCCATTTTAAAGTAGATGTTTCTGGCACATTTCTCCAGAGAGCTCCCTCTGGACCTCATAAAGTTCCAAGGCACAAAGCTGAACAAGATACATCACAGCATATGATGACCGTACCGTCAAAACTTTTCAGAATTGACCTTATCATTTGCCCACTGGAGTCTATTTTAGTTACGAGGAAGAAATCATAGCTGACGACTTCATGGGTATCAGCTGTCAGACAGGTATAGTTGCCAGCATCTGGGAACTCTTTCACTTCAGCAATCAGAGTCCGTCCAGTTCCTTTCAGCTCGCTGTCCTTTTCCCAGTACACTGGCAGTGTCTCATCAGATGTGTTACAGGTGAGCTCCACTCTTTTAGCTGGTGTCTCATTATTCCACTCTGATTCTATGACGTACACTGGACATTGCAGAGAAAGACATGTTAGCAGCTACTCATACCTAACAATATAAAGATTGAGCTGAGCCCTTTTTTCAGCTCTACTTTCCAGGAAAACCACTAACAAATCTCTGGCTTTCTTGCCCAAGGCCTCACCATCACCTGGAAATCTTAACTACAAGAAGAGGTTCAACTTAAAAAATCTATTGTGTCTCTAGAACCTGCTGATCAATAGGGCTGACATTTTAACGGAAGAAGTGATTCATTTATTTTTTTTTCCATGTTCTCAGAGAACCTTACAGCAGTTCATAACCATAGGAAGTAGGCACGTACCTTTATTTTAAAGGTGAGGATGCCAGGACACACTGAGCCCAGGTATTCCTTGGGCATGTGGCATGTGGCCTTTCCTCACAGAATGGCATGTAAAACTACTTTGTGGATTTAGAGCTGAGCTATGATTCTTTGCCTTCTTCAGCATCAAAGTCTGTGAGAAAGCAATGAGATAGATGGGAGCTCTGGGCAGGTGGTTTGTATTTGCCTGTAGCTGTTGTTGTTTTCAATTTTCCGCAGGGAACAATCTGTGTTCCTATCACCCTGGTCCCAGTGGAGCAATTACTAAGAGATGGGGTATGACTGAGCTGAGCTACAGCAGAGCCAAATGGACTACAACTGAGGTCTTTTAACTGCCATCTGGTAATTCTGAAGAGCCTTGTTGGCCTTTCCAAATCAGAAGACATACCACATAACAAAATAATAATCCCATTAAAGAAACATTATCTTCTCTTGTCTCTTTGCTAGAGAACTTCACCTACATTTTTATGTGGCATCAGTTCTCAAAAGTAACTCTCATTGCTCAGATACACTACTGCTGTCACAGGCTTCCCAGCCATGCTCAGTGACCTCAGAGACTCTTCTACATGAAAGAAACAGCAAAAATTTGTTTCTTAGTGTGTCAAGACCACAGCAAGGCACAGCTCAGGAAATCAGAGTTCTGAGATCTTTTCATCGGAGCACCTCACTACCAAAATGAGAGCTTTAAGACTTTATTGCTAAGAACACTTAAGAAATACATGTCAAACACTGAATCTAAAATGACAGAAAACATGCAACTCCAGGTAGCTTGAAAGCTTACCAAACTACTTATGGACCTTTGAAGCACAGGCAAGGTAAATCTTACAGACTTCAAGCACAGATTATTCTCGATACTGACAAACACAGTTTTCAGCATCATAGCATTGTCCAGGGAACCCACAGGATAAATATTTTTTAAATGTAAAGATACAGGGAAAAGTAATTGAATTAGTTGTGGAAATTAAAACACAATCAGATTAAGAATGCTTTCATCATGTTGATTAGGGTCCCTTTTGGATAACTGCATTGAAGACAGAATGGATTATGGAGCTACACTGGGTGACTAGGAACAGCAAATTTATTAGCTGAATTTAGCCCAATTTTCTGGTAAGTTATTCAGAAGGTTTGCTTATTACTGACTGTATTTTTACAAATGTATTTACATTCAAGTTGTTTACCAGAAAAATTGGATAAGCCACTTCTAGGTTTTAGGTTTTACTATGAAATATTCTTTTTGACAATTAAGTCTGCACTTGCTTATTTGTGGGCTGTTACCTAAGTCACAAGATGATGTTTCTGCTTCCAGACCTCATGACTGAAACAAGAGAGTGGGAAATAAGACAGTTTCTAATGCAAAAATTCAAATGGCCTTTGAACAACATTTTGGGACTTCAATGCCAGTTAGGTGGCTAGTTATTCGCAAACAAACAGGAAGAATTTTGGCCTAAGGTACTATATCTGATAAATGCTGTACTTGTGAACAAAAACATAACTCTGAAATACCCTTGTGTCCTACAGCAGCTGCAGGTCTCAGTAAGTGAAGACTGCTTACCATTTTCCCTCAGTTTCCATTGTGCTTCCAGAAGGGCAGCAAAGGAAAATAATGAAAGTATGGCAAATAGTAAGTGAGACATCTGCAGGGAAAAAAACCAAATTACTAAACTTCATTGAGGATTACTGAGTGTGTACAGAAACCAAGCCCAGTGCTGGGCAGGATAACAGCAAGAGAGAGTCAGTTCCAGTAAAGTAAGAACTCTTAGACTACATGAACATTGGAAATTAGGTTTGTACTAGACTCAAGCTGAGATTTTGATCTGCTGGTTATTGACACCACAAACCGGTTTAGAGAAGAAACCACAGAACTTAGAGGAAATTGTTGTGTGCATAGGTCTTATGTGGTCAGGAGCTCAGAAGCATTCCCAAGTCCTTCAATTAAATATTCCCCAGGCAAGAAAAGTCTTGCTGTTGTCACTGAGGCTGCTTGCGTGAACAAGGCATTCACTAAAGGATCCATAGACATTAAATTCCAGTCATACAAAGCTTATATTTCTTGGTGTATGTACATGTCAGTAGTCCTTCTAAAGCAAAGGATTGCAAATAAAATGAAGGACCAGCTGAAGTGGTTTGCTGGACTGTATTCTTCCCCACCTTGGTGAGAACAAGTGACAGCAGTGTCAGTAATGCAGTGTAGAGCTGGTGTCAATACTGACACATCCCTAACTGGTGCCAGTTATAATACGCACCTGAAGCTGGTGGATTAATTTTGCAAGCAATTTCAGGTAAAATTCCTCTTGGATTCAATGCCACAGCTATATTTGCAGAGACAGCTGGGTATGTATAACATTGTAGCTGTGTTCATTTGAGACATAAACATATCTCTAACATGGGAATATGCAAGTATGTGGCTGTATATACAATATATAAATGTATATTTGTCCTGACTGAAAAATACAGCTAGAGCTTTTCATGAAACAGAAAACATACTTGCCAAATACTGTAGTAACCACTGGGTGCATAAAAACCTTTGACAAGTTACAGTTTCAGACCTTTTCAACTGGAGATTAAACCAAATGAACAGGAGTATGACTTAGAAAAAGAATGCACATGAAAAACACAAAACTAAGTGGTTTGGGGCTTTCTTCCTCGCAAACTAGCCTTTTTCAGTGAAAGGGGGGGTAGTCCTGATTTCTTCTCATATGCCATGAAACATATTCATTTGGGTTTATGGAGGAAGAGTTTGTGTGTATTTGTACATGCTCCAAATCTGTTGCTCACTGGCAGCTTCTGCTATTATTAGCAGTCATTAACTGTGATCAAAGTCAGCTGTCTCTGGACCAGTGCTATGTCATCTGATTTTGAACCCCTCACAACATAGCTGTTAATGGGATTAGAAACTACAAGTATCCGGAGAGTATCTACGAGAGGAACTAGCTCACACTGCATCTATACTCAGAGAGAGGCACTACTCTCAGCGAAAAGCCAGATACTATCAGGCAGCCTATCAGCAGTTTATTGCTTCATTAAAAGGCAAACATTCTTATCTCCTTTCCATTGCAGGCAGGATTGCCTGTAATTTGTGAAAGAAAAACACGTTTTCAGCTTTCTAAAAGACACTAATTTCTTTCATTGTAACATGGCATCTATCACTATGCTGGTATCTGAAATACAACTAAAATCTGGAGGAGAAGGGTATAAAACATGCCTTCTGTTCTATATCAGCCTTTCATAAAAACTGTAGCTTGAAAACAGACAAGTTTCTCCTGCTTTTAGGGAGAAGATTCATAATTCAGGTTTGGACGAAAAACAAATATTCAAATTTTCATGGAAAATTATTCCATTTTTGAAGATAGAGGAAGAACATCCCCCCCCCCCCCCCCCCCCCAAAAAAAAAAAAAAAATTACTGCAAAATTAAGCAGAGATAAACTCAGTTTCTGAACATCACTAATCAGTGCACTTGCCTAAGCACTTCATAGATGAGGAATGTGCACCAGCATCGTAGGCTCCCTGTGCACTGGAAGCAGGAGGTGCTGTAAATCGGCACAGATTCCTTCACTGAGGATCACAAAATGATTTATGTGAGGAGGGACCTCTGGGCATCACTCTGGCCCAGTCCCAGCTCAAGGCAGGGCCAAGTCAATGGACTGCATGTTTTTTAAGCCAGAGAATGATCTGACCATAACTACGTATTTGTCAATGGACACACCCCGGCAAAATGAATCCTGGTAAGATACAAAAGATTATTACCTCAAACCATCAGCTGTTCTGATAGATAACAATTCTATGAGGTACATAGATACACATTGCGTGCTTAACTTCAGGCACAAAAGCATATAAATACTGTCCTGTGAAAAATGTCACAACTACTATTTAAAAACATTTTAAAATAAATAATTCTAAGTTTTCATTAGCTGCACCTGAATCAGTTGGTACCAGATTTGTGTTGCCCCAGTGTTAGAGAAGAAAGGAATTCTCACCTTTTCCTGCGGTGCTTGTTAGCTGAAGTTGCCAGACAGGTTGGTTTTGTGATCTGAAGGAAGCAAAGTGCTGGCTCGCTTATAAACACTTCTAACTCCGAAAGGAAAGGGATGCTCCGTTTCACCGCAATACCACAGAATTGCAACACGTGGCTTGGGTTCCTTTTTTACATAGTGGCAGAGCTAAAGCAGAAAAAAAAAAAGAGTTGGGACTCCCAGGTAAACTTTAAAGAGGAAATGAGATGATGAGATTGTTACAGTGACCTTTATGGCATGCCAGAGGCATTTCCTTTCCTGCCTGATTTTCTGTCCCTCTCGTACAGCCTTGTTCATCATCTGAGGAAGAGTAAATACAGACTAAATAAACTTCCAAAACTGTCTGATGGGAAATATTTTATGAAGACAGAAAGAGAAAGTTAAATAAAATAAATCTATTTCTACCTGATAAGCACAAAAGAGATAATTACATGAAATAAAATCCCATCTACAACAGCAATCAGAAGCTAAGGGGAAGTTAATTTTTAACTGCTGTTTTAGGATTGCATTTAACCTAATAATTGAGACTTGGGCTAACCAAAAATTAAACTATTAGTTCTGGCTCCCAGATCAAAATCTGATGTGGTCGCATTATTTCATATTGCAGTTTTAAAATATAACCTTTTTTTTTTTATGACCTGATGTTCCATTGAGACCTGTCCTCAAGCATAACAGAAGCCCCACACATAACGTACACTTTGAAAATGAGGAAAAACTTTCTATTGATTTTTTTTGTTATTTGTGAAGCAATAGAAAGCCATTCACTTTGTAAGGTAAACCAAAACTAAGTTGTTGTTCTAGCCCTGTTCCAAACCTAAGATGACTGAAAAGTTATAAGCAAGAAGAAATACATTGCTTATAAAATCAAAAAAATGGCTTGAAATTCAGCCTGACATACTTTTGGAATTCATGAAGAGACACAACTCTACCTTGTGGGCTTTCTAGTAGCAGGAGTATTCCCATAGCCCGGAGATGAAAGCTATAATCTAGTAATCTTACAACAAATAAAAGGGTGCCTGTCCCTTCTGCTGTAGGCCGTGGTCTTTGGAAGTCTTCCTCGCGAAGAACCAACACAAGCATCTGCCATATGTTGCTCATTTGGTCCTTCCAAATACGGCAAGAACATAAAACAAAAGGAGAAGCAACATAAATTAGCAGCGAGATAAACTTATTATGAACCCCAGCAGTTCCTGGTGCATGGGGTTCCTGTTTATTGTCACACATCTGGGAGGCAAACAGCTGACAGGGTGGCACGCTCTAAGGTTGTGTCAGGATTCCACATTAACTGTGCTGAAAGCCTTACACAAACATACAACATTGCCAGTGGAATGCTCTTCTCTCCTCAGCCATCCTCTTCAAGCACAGCCTGAGTAGGATTACATACACCTTTGGCTGCTGAACTTTAACTTCCACCTGACTAAACGCACAACTAGATCATTGCAATCTCAGATGGGCCTAACAACTTCCTCGCCAAGCCCAGCGTACCCAACCTGTTACTCAAACATGAGTCCAGATTTCCCCTTGCTAGAGCTCACGGCCAGAGCCGGCAAAAGCAGAGCGAGAGGGCTGAAGGTTGCGAGCGCAGCTCCTGGAAGCAGATTTGAAATGGTGGCTTTGCCATAGAGAAAAACTGCTCCCCTCACATCCTGTATACTGAATCTGGATCAAAGTGGCTTATTGATTTATTCATGACAGAGAACTGACCAGCAACAGTGAACTCTTCATTCCAGATCCATATCAACAGTACAACAGACAAGCCAGAGTACTAGAAACTTCCAAACTGTTAATTAATACCTATAGGTCTCTACCCTCCACTTATCCCAAAAAGCTCTTCTCTCACCCTTCCACACATATACATGGTCTTACACACATATTGAGGGGACGTGTGGGTTACAAGCACATGAACTGTCTTTGCGTTTGGCTGATGTTCATCTTCCTCTCCTACATGATCGTCTGGGACAAATGTCTTCCCAGGCAGTTTTGGATCCTCCATTCACGTACACTGTTTATATTCCCACTCCTACCCTAACATCTATTGTTATCCAGGCTAGTTTGCCAAAGGTGGCTCACACAGACACTGACAGTTCCTCTGCTGGTGTTGTTACACTGATGAGAAAGAGAAGATGGCAGTCTGAGAAGGCATGCTGAGAAACATGTGGCAGAAGTGGCTTGTGCACAGGCAAGTGAATGGTATTCAAACTGTTCCAGGTGAAAATATTGTCTAGTCCTGATCCTGGTCCCTGACTACCTTTGAAACTCACATCAGCAGGAGGCTGGGCTGTGCATCATGTTCCCATTCATCTGCTTTTCCTTCCAGTGAAGACCTTGTAGCAAGGGCAGGGAGGAAGCCCCATTGAGCAGTGACACTCATTTCCCTTTGCATTCTTAGCCTCTTATAAACGCAACCTCTGCAAAGCACTTAAGGCAGCTCTCCTTTCACAAATGGGAAAGACCCCAGGCTGAATCTAAGCTAGGCAACATTTTTTTTCCCATTTAAGACAATTTTCAATATCCAGAATTCACTTCTGTGATAACACACAAGTTCAACAGCAAGTTAGCAACGACCAGGAAAACTCGAAAGCTGCATTCAGTCACTGAGCAGATAAATAAGGGCACAAGTAACCTTACATACATGTTGCCTACTTCCTTCTCAACCCATCTTAGCTTGCCAGTTTCTTACTTAATCAACCATGTATTATAGCTTTTGTTTTTTGACTGTAATGTCACTAATGCATAGCATAAACATCCACCCAACCTGATGGTAGTCTTTAAATGCCTGCTCAGTTCTGAAACATGAATACTTAATGATTAATATAAATACATACACTTCTTTAGAGTGTGCACATACATGAAGCCTACAGAGCTGCCTTAGCTCAGCTATTGCTACGGGGCAAGTGAAGTAATTCAGTACCCAAGTTTTATGTCAAGAATCTTAGATGCCAGTTATGAAGCACAGACACATCTGTGTGGAACTTCCATGATGGGATAGTTTGCTATGATCCATCAGAGGAATTTTTAAATATTAAAACATAGAGATGGTGAAAATATCTTTGATGACAGTCTGGTTTTCCATTATGAGCTCATATATTCTTAAGGGGAAATTTGGAGGAGAGCAGCTTCTCTCCAATTATTTTATCCTACTTCCCTTATGATGCTGAAAGAGAATGGTGGAAACTCTATGTCCATGTTTTGCTCTCCTCTAATGCAATGGAAACACTCTTTTTTGGCAGGAATGGCTTGTTTGAAAATGCTTTTCCTTTCTTTTGAATGACAGATGATTTTTGCTTTTTGGAATGACACAATTATTTTACCACAACCCAGGAAAAAAAAAAAAACTGCATAACGTTAGTAAAAGGAAGATTCATACAAATTGTATAATTAGTATGATTCCTCCATATGGAATTTCCTTTAGCATCTGGCTGGTTTTGCATGGATGTTGATTTGGAGATCAATGACAAAGATCAGATTTTAATACTGTTATTATTAATGTAGTAGCAGTAAGAAGGGAACTCTGTTCTTTAATTCACCAAATTCACTTAATTCACCAAACAGTGATTTATGTGACTTCATGAGGAAACACTGTGTAATATTAGTATATCAATGAATTTTCCTAAAAAATTCCAGTTGCGAGCTACTACATGGAATCACTGAACCAAGATTAAACCTTGAGAGAAATGCAAAGCCATAAGGGGTAAAATAATTCCCACTTTTATACAAATCAAAACCTCTAAGGTTTATACAAACTGATTTCTTTGCATAGTGACACAACTAGAACAGCCACGCAAGGTGGGGACTTTGAGCACCTCTCCTTGGATGGAGAGCACAGTAAGAAGTTTACCTCGCTTGTGCTCTGAGCTGGTATGCCATCCACTACCTCCAGAATAGAAGCTGAACAACACTATTACTGTGCCCTGACCCAGTTAATTGGCCGGTATCATGCTAATGTAGTTACTCAACTTTAGATTAGAGTTAACTGTTGTTCAGGGTAGGGTTGAATATGGATATAAAATACATGCAAACACAGAGCACATGCTTCTCTAAATGAAGAGAAGAGGAAAGAAGGGGTTTTCGCCTCTTAGTCCTACTCCTCCGACAGTAAATTCACATCTTCCCAGCCAACTTAAAACTCATGATACAGTGGATCTCTCTCTATAGACTCCATTATACATGCAACCTGTGTTTAGAAACAGTAGTAGAAGTGAAAAAATAACATGAGGAAGGAGCTAGTACCATCCTGCCTAAGAATGAAAAAAAAAAGCAAAAAGAGGTATGTCATTTCAATAGAGTTTTAAGAACCAAATTGCATCTTCTACAGTAAATGACTCCAGAGAGTTAATGGGATTTGGGTACCCAAGTCTATGATATCCTTTTGCAAATCTCCATAGTCACTCAGAAAATACTGGGCAGAGATACAAAAGAAACAGATTCATCGCAGAATGGTAGAGATACCAGCCTCTCTTTAACAAAGGAAGCACAAAAGCTCCTCCCCCAGAGCATGCATGTGAAGATTGTTCATTGCTTTTTTAAGTGCATTGCAATGCAGTGCAATGCAATGCTTCCTATTACATCAATCCTCTATTTCCATCACAAATCTCTTGTTTACATTTGGTAAGTCTGATATGTTACACCCAGCTGGAGGATCGAGATGCAAGTTGCTCACTTTACGTAAAGTTCACTCACTTCTTGAGTGTGATGCTGAACTATTTGAAATCCACTGTCACCGTAACTTAGGCCAGGATACAGTGCTGGGGGTGGGGGAAATAACGTATCAAACTGAAAGTAAAGGGAAAAACCAAGCTGTAACTTATTGACTTAAATTCAAGCAGCATTTTCTTGTTTGTCAGGCAACTTCTATAGAAAGGAGGCCAGACACTTGGTTTCTTTGCAATTCTAAAATTGCATATAACATTTTTTGGGGTATTTGCAGTAAGTTAGTAATAGACAAGGAAAAAAATCTTTGGGCAACAAATTCAGAAAGGAATTGCAAAAGTTAAGCATGCCTCAGAGAGAGGTGTTATAACAACACCTTTTGCAGGAGTCATTACATTGCAATTTCTGTGGGATTATATAGAATATGTGATTTTAACCTCACTCACCTGCCAATAGCGCAGCCTTTGAAGGACAGGTTACTCTTTGGGGTACTTTTTTAAATCATTCTGCTTCAGCAACTGTAACAATTTGTTTTGGCACTAGGATTTGCAGTCTCAGAGATTAAAGGAATAAAAAACCGTTGGCAACATGAGACATTGTTCTCCTTTAATGAAGTATAAGCTTGTTAAATCCCAATGGCTACATGCAGTATCCAAGAGCCTTATGAGGAAAAGGCTGCTCATGAACCATAGGTGAAGGAGTGCTGCTTTTGCACTGGCTAGCATAGCCCATGCTGGGTGATCTGCAGCTCTGATGAAGTGGAGAACTGGGAATAAAAGTGCCGTTCATTAACTCCCATTTTAGGGAGAAAGGGAAAATTGCTGAAGGCACTGAAAGACATTATCATGGACTCACAGAACCACAGAATGGTTTGGATTGGAAGGGACCTTAAAGCTCATTCAGTTCCAACCCCTGCCACAGGCAGGGACACCTTCCACTAGAGCAGGTTGCTCCAAGCCCCATCCAACCTGGCCTTGAACACTGCCAGGGACGGGGCAGCCACAGCTTCTTTAGGCAACCTGTGCCAATATCTCACCCCCCTGACTGAAATGTGTTTATGAAGAACAAAGTGAAGTCTCCTTCTTGTCCTTCTAATACACAGACACTTCCTCCTGTGGGGAAAATGATTTGTGCTATATAGAAGCACACTGCTCGTGTACCAGCCTGTTATCATAGCATTAATGACAGGAAAACAAAGTAGAGCAGAGCAGAGGAGTTATTCTTACTAGTAGTTCCGTTGCCTAAGTCTACATTTACATAGTATTTCACAAGCAGATTTGAAGCTTTCTTAAGAGGGTGGGCTGTTCAGGCTTGGCGCTGTGCTAACTACTGCTGTGCAACTCTGGATCAAGCTCAGGATCCCAGCAGAGCAAGCTGACATCTGGGTATGAAATACTGTATTAATAGAATTTCGATTGTACTTTAGTGCACGTATGTCAGTACAAAGTGGAGCCATTAGGAAAAATACTTCTCTTATCTGCCTTTATTGCTATTTTGAAGGAGAAAATGGACATAAATTACTCAAGGATATACCTGGAAGAATAGGGAAGTAATGACAACTTCCTACTTTGATATGTAATTATTAATGTTTATATATTTATTTTATACTAAAACCTAGAGACTCAAACTGCGACGGGGACCCCATATTATAAGGGATACCAGGAGCAAGATTCAGTGCCTGGTCATGAGGTAAGCATCTTGTTGCACAACTTTTTATCTGTCAGAAAATTCCAGGCTCCTGGAGGGGATGAATAGACATTTCAAAGTATGTAATAGAGCTTTAACGCCTCCTATGACTGTTAATGAATGAGGTCATACAAGGCCTATTTGGAAAGCAAAGATGTTTCAGAAATGAACCACTGAAGCGTCCCTCAACTTCTGAAAGTCTAAGGAAATTTCTGAAATGACTGCAGTGGTTGCTTTGTGACACGACATTCACTTCTGCAACTTCTGTCAACCTTCTCCCTGCTGAAGTCATGTTGTAATAAGAGGGACTACAGTATTACCACCCTGAGTGCTAAAAATTCAGGAGCTTTAACGTGTGTTGGTTTCTAGCAACCACAGTGGAATGGGGAAAAGAGAGGGACTCTGGGCTGACAAATCCTCCCTGCTCTTACGTACCAGATAACATTTGGAATAGAAGTGCCCAGGAGGGGCTACAGCCCCGCTGGCCTTTCCACATACCATATACTCCAGGGACTTGCTTTTTAAACAGTACTTTCTGTCTTGTGCCGGTATGCAGCTGCGTTGCACTCATCA